CCTCCTCTTCATGCCCCTGCCCCAGCTCTGCTCTCCGAACTGCCACAGCTCTGGACTTCAGAGCCATTCCGCTCACCCAGGAGCTTACAGAAAGGGAAAACCATTTGAAATCGGACACTCTTTTTTTTTTTCCCCTAAAGATTTTATTTATTTATTTGAGAGAGAGAGAGAGAGAGAGAGAGAGAGAGAGAGAGAGAGAGCACAAGCCAAAGGGAAAGGCAGAAAGCAAAGCATACTCCCCACCGAGCAGGGAGCCCCACTCGGCGCTCGATCCTAGGACCCCAGGATCTTGACCCCAGCCAAAGACAGCCGCCTAACCAACTGAGCCACCCAGGCGCCCCTGAAATCCGACACTCGACACCACAGCCTTGGATGAGTCCGTCTGCCCCAGGCCATTTTCATCTCAGCCAAAGACATGTCCTTTGTCCGGGCCTGTCCGCTCCTGGCTGTCCTTCCGCGTCCCTTCGCTCTCATTTCTGCCTCGACCACACTGGCCTCAGCTCCCGTCATCCCCCACAGGCGCCCCCCTTCTCCCCAACAGAAGGCTGTGCTCTCCGCGTCAACACGGGTCTCTCCTCTGCGTCCTCCTTGCTGCAGCTCTCCCCTTCGCCAGCACCCCGTCAGGGGAGCACTGCTCACGGGATGACTGGGTCAGTCCCCGTCCCCCAGGTGCTCAAAGCTTCCAGTATGCAGCAGTCATTTTACACGACCCCCTGGGACTATTAACTGGAAAGCCTCTCACTCTCTAGACTGTAAACCTCAGGCGCGCCGGGGGCGTGGATGTCTTTAATCCCCGTGTTCTCCCCAGTGCCAGCAGCAGAAGGAAGACCACCCAGGTACCTGCTGAGGCCACGCCAAAGCTTCCATTTTTAGAGAGAGGCCATGGATTAGTCCTTGAAGAATTGTGAGAGTCCTTCAGGGTGAAAATAATCAAAAGAACGGATGCCTAGAATGGCCCAAGGACAGACTGGAACCCCAGTTTTGCCTGAATGATTCACATCAATGCTTTAAAGGCTAATGCAGTTTCATCTCCCGAGGCAGTAAAGACCAGAAATAGACTACTTATTTCAAAGAGTCCAACCTTACAGAGACTGGAGTCAGAACATCTTCCCTAGGGACAGGAGCTCTTCCTACTCGTTCGCAAAAACCTTGAGGAGGCTGTGACCTGTTGACGAACCCTGGGATCACATCCCAATCAGCGTTGCAATGATGCTGCTGCTTGAGTTCGAAATTAGAAGACAGGCGTCTCTTGCCCGTGAAAACGGAGCTTAATTTTTGCCGAGTTTAGAAATACAGGCACTAGAGGGCGCTCATGTCCCTTCCTTTTCAAACAAGGGGCTGACGCAAAGCTTGTTCTGAGAGGAGTCAGGCAGGACCTCCACGCCCCGCCCCACCCCCCGCGGTGGTCAGTCCTTCAAAGATAGAAGCCCTGTTAATTCATAGCACCGGCTAAAGGCAACATCAAACCTGGCAACTTCACTGCTCACTCGCCTCACCAGTGAGAGGCCAGTCGTGTGCACTGGGAGCTTGTGCTCTTTTACCTAACCCCCTTTCCCCTGGGTGTATTCAAAAAAATAAAGAAATAAATAAAAAGGGGGGCGGCATTTATAAGTGTTTCATGACCTGTGCCTTTCTGGACCTTGCCCATTTAGACACCCACACATCCTGCAACCCAATCAAGGGTCTGAATATAAAGCTGTCATGTGGGTAAGTTATGTCTTGTAATTAAAAAAAAAATCAACAATGTATAAAGATGTTAAAGGTTAATAATCCTCTCCCCTCTCCAAACACACCTCTATCTCTCCCTGTCTTCGGTGGGTAACCAATATTAACATTCTGGTGAGTTTCTCTTCTCTGGGTTCATGCAAACCTGTCCACCCAAATATACCTGCAAAAAATGGGACCGCCTGTGCCCATTTACTGCCGCCTGCATACTTCTCCCCCTTAATCTACTTTGCATTGTATTTGTCCGGCTTGGTAAACACAGACCTAACTTGCTCCTATTTGATGCTTCGTATTGCACAAGGGGGTGACAGGTACATGGACACTCTGTCATCACTGTCCACTTTCCTGACTGGTCTTTCCTGAAGTGACTGGACAGCCACTTCTTCGAGCTCCCATGTTCTCCAGACTCAGGCTGCTGGGGGATGATGGGGTGCTCCCATCACTCATAAGCCTGGAGGTCTGAGAGCTCCAGCCATGACCCTTTATATGACAAGACGGGGAGGGAGAAAGGGGTGGGCCCTTACTACACCCACCAAGGACTATACAATCTCTTAGTTACTCCTCATAAGCCATCATGAAGCGGTGTTAACCCTGCATTACAGAGGAGGAGGCTCAGGTTCGGAAAGGTTGATGGCCTCGTGCATGGACTCAGAGCTGATAAATGGTTGGAGCCAGATTACAAAGGCCAGTCTGTTTGTGTCTGTGTGGGAGGTGCAGGAACCTCGGGGTCACTGGGAGGAAGGGGTTGTCCATCTTCAGACCAGGCTAGGAGGGTCTCTGTGTGTCCTGCAACCACTGGTGGTAAAGGCATCATGATTCTGGCCGCGGAGAGGTCCTAGAGGCAGCTGGTCTGGTCGGTGGCCCAGACTTAGAGAGCTGAGCTTTGAGAAAATCATTCCTTCATGACATGCAGCAGAGATACAGAGGTGGATAAACAAGGGAAGGGAAATCTGTGAGAAGCTATTGTTAAAATGAGGGAAGCGGGAGAAGCAAGTCAGTGGTCCCTTCAAGCACGTAAGATGTACGGGAAAACAATACTAATTAAAATCCAAGCTGATGCTGATCAGTTTGCCTTTAAGTGGTTGGAAAATGGGGAAATATATATCGAAGGCGAAATTGACATCTCCACTACCCTTTTGCTTGTGAAGCCTGGTGACCAAGAGAGAAAGCTGGAGATATGGCAGAAGGCCACAGTGGAAGTTTGGTGGGCACTCTAATAAATCATTCAGCACTGGAGGAGACTCGCAGGGGCCAAAAGCAGGCCAGTTTCCCCACATCAGAGCTCGGAGGCATCTTATCTTGGTCTGGGAGGATTTGGGTTTTGTTCCTTAGAGGAGGGGGGCCACCAATAAGGTTTTGAAAGTTATGCCAGGAAAGCAAATGAACAATCTATTCATAATGCAGCCTGTTAGGGGCCCCAAGGATCAGTTTACCACCCCCCCCATCTTTATTGCATACCTTTCATCAGGATGATAAGGGTGAAACAGTCTGACTCCTTCTCAGGGGGAGGTTTGGAGCACTTATTTATTTTATTATTTTTTATTTTTAAAAATTTATTTATTTATTTGAGAGAGAGTAAGAGAGAGTGTGCATGACTGGGGGAAGGGGCAGAGGGAGAGAGTCTTCAAGCTGAGCCTCCTACCCTCATGCTGAGTGAGGAGGCCAAGTGGGCTGGATCCCAGGACCCTGAGATCATGATCTGAGCAGAAATCTAGAGTCAGACACTCAACTGACTGAACTACTCAGGCGCCCCTTATATATTTTAGAAGTGACTTAGAAACCAGAGGCACAATGATAAGGAGCTGAGGACAAAAAGCAGTATGGAGATGAATGAATTGATAGAAGGAATTCTGTTTTTAAGCTCCAGAATTAATAGAAGATCCCAACTTAGATCAATAGCTTCCAGAGGCATCATCCCATCCCTTGTAGCTCTGAACGGTGAATTCAAACTGCTTTCAGGACACAGTTGTGACTGCCCCTCCCCACACCCACACGTGTCCTGTGCCCAGTGATTCATTAGTTCAGTATAACACCCAGAGGTCATCACAGCACGCGCCCTCCTCAATACCCATTGCCCTGTTACCCCTCCCCCACCCTCCTCCCCTCTTTACATTTTTAATGGTTAAAAAAATAAAAAGAATGATATTTTGTGACATATGATAATTATATGAAATTCAGATTTCAGTATCTGTAAAGGAAATTTTGTAGGAACGCAGCCACGCTCTTTTCTATCCATACTACGTCTGACTGCTTTTGCGTTACAGTGGCAGAGCTGAGTGGGGGGGACAGAGACTGCCTCGTGCTCAACACTGAAACCATGTACTATCTGACCCCTTACAGAGAAAGTTTGCAGACCCTTGACATAAAAAAGTATTATGAGATGGATCAACATTCTCGATGATCTGCACACCTTCTGAATGATAAAGCTTCTGAAAGAAAGCATAACAAATTCCCCTCCTCACCTTGAAGTGGGCAAAGATTTCTTAAGGAGGGCAAGGAATGTTCTCATCTTGAAAAAGTACATTGTTTTTTTTATCAGAAATTAAAAGTTCTGTTCATCAAAAGATATTAAGATAGATAGACGGCTATCTGAGAGAGGGCAGGTAGCCATCATATAAAGAATTCCTACAAATCAATAATAAAAACGACAATTCAATAAGAAATAGCAAAAGATGTGAACAGGGTGTTACTATACATATTATACACACACATATATGAACAGGGTATTAGTATATATTACACATGCACATGTATATATTACATGTGTAGTTCCCTCTTCGTGATAACGTTGGGTTTATTTCCCCAGCTGCTTACATTTTTTGGCTGCTAGAACTCCATGGTCAGCCTCTTCCAGGAATTGCCTTTGGTTAAAGAGAGCACTTTGCCCAGAGCCCTATCCCTTCCCCGGGCAGCGGGCATCTAATGACTGGCTGGTATCCCCTTTCCTAGAACACTAATTGATGAGATTTAGAATATGTATTCTTTTCTTGGAACCATGTTTGCTTCGTGCTTCCCTCGTGAACACGTGCAAAGGGTGAGCTAGACACAGGTGGACATCCACTCACCCAGAGCTGGGCCCTGCTGAATCCTGGCGCCCAAGTCTGTACCTGGCCTGCTTGGGCCACTTGAGGACGCTGTGGACCCACTGAGCGGGCCGCGGGAGGCAGCGTCTGGGAGAGGGAGGGTTAAGGAGAAGCAGTCTTGCCTTGTTCCTGGCATCAGGGAGATTGTTGATCAATCAGAGTCAGTGCTGGTGCCTGAAGGGCCCATCACAGTCTTCTCACATTTACTGATGCTCAGGTGTGTTTGCCACAACAGGGAGCTATGAACTCCACCTTTCTTGGTGTGAGGGCCTCTCTTGGAGCCTACATTGGTGCAGAGTGTGATGAAGGCTTCTGTGGGGCAGCCTGAGTAACCTGAGCCAGGTGCAGAGAAAGGAGCACAGAGGAAAACAGAGAAGCTGTGGGAGATGGCCACCCAGCTCAGCACGGCCAGCCCCGGCTGCCCAGCAGGCGCCTGGACAGATTGGAGGAGGGCCTGCAGCAGCTGAGCCTGCCCAGGGAGTGCAGGGGGCCTGCGGGAGCCGACAAGGACAGTGACATCAGAACGGTGACATCACAGGCAAGCCCTATGAATAGAGATAAGGGAGGAAGACCAGAGCCCTGAGTCAGAAGATGCGCTGTCCTGTCCTGCCTGAATCTTCCAGGGGCACCCAGCTGCTCTGCTGTGTGGCCCTCTGTCTCCTGGGGGCAGGTGAGTCCTGAGCTCAGGTGGGACATCCCTTGAACTGATGCTGGAATCTCAAATTCCTTCCTAGACCAGGTCATCAGCGGCTATTTCCTCCCTCTACAGGTCCAGTGGGTGCTGAAGTCATCCAGACCCCCAGACACCTAATCCAAGGCCGCGGGGGGAAGGCTGTTCTGAAATGCCATCCTATCACTGGGCACAGCAGCGTGAGATGGTACCAGCAGGCCCCGGGCCAGGGCTCCCGGTTCCTCATTGAGTATTATGAACAGGAGCAGAGAGAGACAAAGGAGACATCCCGGAGTGGTTCTCAGCTCAGCAGTTCATAGGTCTCCAAGCCTCTGAAATCAACATTTCCCTAAAATTGAATGGGTTTCCTGGCCCTTAACCAACAAGATGTCGCAGACCACCGTGTCTTCCATCTCTGTACTGGCTAAGCTGTGGTGGGGAGGTCATACATCATGGTGTCGGGTTACCATACCTATTGCCTGCCCACTTCTAGAACCTGCTGCAAGCCAGAGAATGTGTATCTGTCCGGTCACAGTTCCACTAGGGTGGGGCCAGGGTATTCCCCCAATGCAAGAGCTGAGGGACTAGGGGGTTTCCAGTCTACCGGAGATTCAGCCAAGGAAATAGGAGCCCCCTGGGGATCTCAAGCAGAATGGGAGTTAATATGGGAACTAGTGCTTCTAAACCATTGGACGTTCTGGAGGAAGGAGGTTCTGCAGAGGCTGCAGTTCGCTCATACGTCTAGCACTTTCCATCAGAAAAGCTGAAATTGCTACTTCTGCCCAGGCCGGTAACTGCAGAAAACAGCAGAGAGCTACAGTTAAGTACATGTGCGGCATAGCCGTTTCCCGGTGGCAGGTACAAACTTATTAGTGAACACACACGGTTTTAATTCTATTCCTTTTCTGGGAACTTATAGAAAATTCCCTTATTTATTGCTCATTTTCTCTGTGCCATATACTTAAGTACATTATTTCGATTAATTCTCTCGGGCCTTGTAGATGATTTGCTGAAGGAGGCGCAGCTCACAGATATGGGATGCATGCCAACCTAACTGCTACCCCCCTTCCGCATTTTGGTAGAGGAAGGCATCTTCACAATTGGAACACTGACCTAAAAGTACCTTCCAGAAACATGGGCCCTGACACAGTCATTTGCGCAGGGAGGCTACCTGCTGAAAGAGGACTTCTGAGATTTCCATCTGTTCATATTCGGACCTGCCTTGGACTGGTGACCAGGACAATATTTGACTGGGTTTTCCCACTTGTAAACTAAGGCCAATAATATGTGTCTTGCAGAGATTTTATGCAAGAAAATAAAACAAATTGCCTAACACAAAGATTAGACCCAAGAAATCTTGGTTCCCCCGTTAGCTCTGACAAAGCTCTGGCCTAACACAATTATTTACTGGGTGCAATTCTGGGATCAAAGGCAGGCATGGATTACTTTTGCCTGACTCACCTATGTTCCAGACACGAAGTCATCTGAAATGTAAATACAGTCATCTGATAATGTATTATGTGAAATTAACTGCAAACGGTTGCCTCTTATGGGAATGAGAAAATGAGGTCTATGACAGCACTCTTTGTTTGATATTAAGTCTGATATGCAAGAAGGTGCTGTGCTTCCAGAACATTGCAGCTTTGGTGCGACTGATGATCACACAGAAGATCTGATAAAGGAAGGTACAGTTTTATTCAAAAGAGTCCATCATGGTAGAGCCTCTAGGGCCTTCTGTCCTGCCTCTGATTTCACCCTCCACTGCTGTGGACAGTATTTTCATGCAGGTCTGCCTCCATTCACCTCATGCTGACGGCGTGCCCCTCACACACATGCCCTGATCCCTGGGCTTTCGGCCCCAGGGCTGTCTGTGACATCATAGGTTTAGCTGCAGGCATGCTAATGCTCCTGGCGGGACAGGAGCCAAGACACAAAACCTCCAGGATCTGCATTCAGGGGGACAATTCAAGGAGGCATTTCCTAGGCTTCTCAGAAGGTCCCAGTGGAATCCATCTCCTGATGCCCCCGCATATCCTCAATATTGCTCCTTTATCCGGTTCTTTCCTTCCCTCTTCCCTTCTGCTCTCTGACAGCGATGGAAAAAGGGGACCATTGGAAGACCCTTCCCTTTGGAAGAGACCGCCATTTTTCCTTCATCCGTATTGTCATCCATCCTCTCCAAGTCTTATAATAACATATATGAATGAATCTTTTCCCAGTTTGTTTTGGTTTATTTTGAATCCCCAACAGACTCCTATGGGTCTCTGCTCCCTTAATGCTCCAAACCTATTTGTAACTGAACAGACTAGGGTTATGTTTACAAAAGCAGAGTCTGCCTGGATTTTCTTCATTAATTCAACAAACATTTATTGAATACATGTGCAGAGCATATCCAGGTTTTATGGAGCCTAAACCTTATAAATTTTAGGGTGCTATGTGAAAAAGACAATAGAAAAAAAAATTTAGGTCTTGGAAAGGTCCTGTGCAAATGAGAAGGGCCTGAAGTTATTCTTCATTGACTTTATGGCCAGCCCACCCTTCACTCTTCACCACGTGTAGGAAGTATTCCAGGTGTTTGGGAAACACCAATGCAAAAAAAAAAAAGGCAAAACAAAACAAAACAAAAACAGACAAAGCTTCGAGATGAGGTCTATGTTTTTAGCAAATTTTGTGGGGCGCCTGGGTGGCTCAGTTGGTTAAGCAAATTTTGTGACAAATTTGTGAATCAATAATTAATTTAAAAATAAATTTACAAAGAAATATTCCTGGTAAATGCTTATCCCCCTAAAGAAATTAGGTATCATTAAGGATATTGATACTCTGAGTAGATCATACTCTATTATGAGAACAATCCTTAGATCTCTGAGATCCCACGTACCCTACCCCAAAGAATGTGAGTCCTAGCTGAATAAATCCCCCTTTTTTTTGTACCGACGCAGCCATGGGAAGTAGACTTATTTGCTGTGTGGTTCTTAATCTCCTGGGACCAGGTGAGTCCTGTGCATAAGGGGAGAGTACTTCCTGGGTTTTCCAGGCCCCAGCCACAAGCCTTTATGTGAGGCACTCCTTGTGTCAGATTTCTGATTCCATGTCCTTTCTCACTGCTGTGTGATTGTTGGAATTACCCAGGAAGAGTATGTCAAGAATGCAGCCACAGGAATAGAGAAGCTTCACACTGAGATACGACCTATCTAGGAAATAACAGTGTGTACTGATATTGACTAGCTGTAAGTCTGACACTAGAGCAAATGTATGGTTCGATCTATATGCACCCATTGGGTGGGTGCAAGACCTTCTGAATGGAGACAAAACAATTCCATGTAAACCCATGGATGAATATCTCATCCACGTTGTTAATGAGCTTCCTCTTTTTTCACGGAAAGCAGAATCATGGAACTAAGAACTAATGTGGCCTGGTGCTCCGTGGCCTCGTCTGAAACAAAGGGGAGGAATCTGACTCGTGAGAGCCTAAAGACCTGAGTACAGATGGCAGGGCTCCCATCACTCAGGACACTGTGAGACAACATAAAATAATTCCTCCAGTTCCAATGACCCTGACCTCGAGACTTTGAAAACTTTCTGGACATGGTTATTTTAAGCAAGAAAATCACTGTAGGCTGACCATCCAATTATCCAGAGTTAAGGCAGAGAGAAAAACTAAAAGGTATTTGGAGGCAAATTTCGAGCAGAAAAGTCACCAAAGAACCAGGACCATCATAATACTTTTTCTTAGTCTACAGAAATATTATGAAAAAATTGTAACAGGATGCAAATAAGGAATTGTATCATTATTCATAGAGGAACAAGTTTCCTTACTCAAAGGTAGAGGAAGAGTATATATACATATAAGATTTCTTCAAAAAGCAAACTAACAAATTCTCCCCCTTCTGAGACATTCAACTTTGTATATATTGAAATGATTCGTTCTTGTGGGGAAAGGGGTATGGCAGGTTAGCTCTGCAGCTCAAGCATTTGTCAAGGACAGTGATGTCACTGAGTGACGGGAAGCCCAAGTTCTATTTCCCCAAAACAAAACTAGAAGACATGAGATTCTGCCTTTCACCTGAAATGGTCACCAGGCTCTTCTTCTGTGTGGCTCTTTGTCTCCTGTGGGCAGGTGAGTACAGGTGGGCTTCCTTCCCTGGAATTCCCAAGACCTCAACACAAGCCTTCCTCCCAAGATGACAACATTAGTCTGTGTCACTCTCTATTACAGGACACACGGATGCTGGCATCACCCAGAGTCCAAGATACAAGATAGCGAGCACAGGAAAGAAGGTGACTCTGGGATGTCACCAGACAGAGAACTATGACTATATGTACTGGTATCGACAAGACCTGGGACATGGGCTGAGGCTGATCTATTATTCAATCGATATTGGCAGCACTGATAAAGGAGAAGTCTCCGATGGGTACAATGCGTCTAGATCAAATAAGGAGGATTTCCAACTCATACTGCTATCTGTTGCCTCCTCCCAGACATCTGTGTACTTCTGTGCCAACAGTTACCCCACAGCCCTGCACAGCTGCCTCCTCTTTGCACATAAAGGGTAGTTAGACTGAGCTGCCCTGAACTCACGAGGCCTGGTCCGAGCCCCAAAAAGGCCCTGCCTCTGGTGGAGTCACAGAACTCTTGCCAGCATGAGAGCCTTACGACAGTGGGCAATATGACCCTCGGGGTTGAAGTCCGTCCCTACACCAGTCTCAGCCTGACTGGACATCACCGCAACATCCTTAGCTTGCTGGTTCTCTCTTCTGCTGGCCTCTCTTTCCACTCGCAGAAGGAAAACGCATCTTTAGTTCAGATACAGGAAGATTCCCTTGATGATCTCAAAGCCCCCACATTCTTCTCTCCCTTCTGAGTTTCAGTGACTTCTTTACTCCTTACTCCTTTCCCCAGCCTCTGCTACCCTTCAACTTACAAGTCATAGACCTTCACTCATATGGTCTCTGCTACTGGCTGCCTTTCTTCTGTGAGGGAATAGAGCTGCAAGGTCCTGTAATGTTTGCCCCTCCCCCCGTCGCTCCACCATCCCCCTGCCCAGTCTCCCAGGCTCTGTCTGCCCCAGCCACACTCACACACGTTCAGTTATTTCCTTGCATGCGCCATGTTCTTTTCTTCCCTTGGAATCTTTTTTTTTACAGGCTATTTCTTCACTAAACATATGCCCCTCCCTCTTAGTTCTGGAACTCTACTTCATCCCTCATATGAAAATCTATTTCAGGTCTACTTTTAATTATGAAAAGTAAAACTTAAACTTTACTAGAATAAATTAGGAAAACTATTTTTAAGCATTTATTTGAGGAAGGATTTTTTTTTTTTTTAAGTGGAGACACAGAAGAACACAAACCACAAAGAAAACTATAATTCCGGTCGCATGAAACTCTTCTGCATCAAAACACACCATAAAAATGAAAAGGTAAGCCACAGACTGGGAAAAGACACAAGGAGTGCAAACCAATGATAAAGAATTGGTGTGACAGACGCCATTCCTGCCCACCGAAGCCCCATGGCTGCTTCGCAATTACCAGCGTCATTTGCAGTTATGGAGTTGGGAACCTACAACCAAGTTCTGAACAATGGGAAGTGTGTAAAAATTATCTAAGTCTCTTCCAAGCCTTGCCTTTTAAATTGTCCTGTGGCATTGTGTTGGGGGTCCCCAAGTATACGCCCATGTTTGGAGATTCGCTGAAAGGATTCACAGGAGATGCATCTAGTTGTAGTCAGGGCTAAGAGTTATTAGTGACACAGTAACTATTCAGTGGCGGATCACAAGGGGAAAAGACACAAGTGGAGTCTGAAGGAATCCACAGACAGGCGTCCTTATGCTCTCCTCCTCCGTGGAGGGGTCACACAGAGCTCACACTTCCCCCAGTGGCAAAAAGGCAGCAACATGGGTACGGTGTTTCTGCCACGGGAGCCCCTTAGGGACTTAATGGCCAGGTTTTTATTGGGGGCTGTTCATATGGGCACTCACTGCCCACCACATACTAAAAATGTAGTTTCCCAGAAGGAAATCTGGTGTTCAGCATAAACTACGTGTTTGCATGAACAGTCTAGGCAAAGTGAACCATCCTTCTTAGTTGGGAAAAGTTGGTATCGGCACAGATAACTTTACCAGCCAAGTCCCCAGATGGCAGCCAATGGCCCATCTTGCAAGCAGCCTTTCTGAGCACAACAGTCTCACGCTGTGTTAACTGCTTTCTGTGCAGACACCCTTCAACTCTCTTTCCCATGCTGTGATGAACTCGGAATGTACAAGTTATAGATTGCTGAATTATAATATGGAAGCAGCCTGGCTCACTGGATCGTAATTTGGTGGACAACCACTGAAGATTAACCTGTTCACGCCACATTGTGTTCTGTGGTCACGAGAAATCTGCGGTCACTGGTTAAACCACTGAGATTTTAGGATCTGTTTTATTTTCTGTAGCATAGCTGACCTCGTCTAATGGTATCCAGAAGGAATAAAGAATTCTCATTACTTAATAAGAAAGAAAACCCAATAAAAATGGCAATATTTAATGTAGGTGATTCACATAAGAGTAAACATGAATTACCACTAAACATGTAGATAGATCCTCAAGCTTACTTAGAATCAAAGTATTGTATACAGAAATAAGTTATGACTTCAAACTTACCAGACTGGAAAATTTTCACCTCTCTCTCCTATCAGGCCCTAGTAACCTCTAATCTAGTTTCTGTCTGCATGAATTTGCCCCACAGAAACCCCATATTCTTCCTTTCGTGTCTGGCTTTTTTTTCACTGAGCATAATGCTTTCCAGGTTCATCCATGTTGTAGCCTGGATCAGAACTTCATTCCTTTTTATGGCCAAATAATATCCCATTGTATGGATAGACGGCATTTGTATGTCCCTTCAACAGTCGATGGACATTTGAGATGTTTTCACCTTTTGGCTCTTGTGAATAATTCTGCAATGAACATTGGCCTACAAGTATCTGAGTTCCTGTTTTCTATTCTTTGGGGCATATACCTAGAGGTGGAATTGTTGGGTCATACGGTAATTCTATGTTTAATTTTTTCAGGCACTGTCAAGCTGTTTTTCTCAGCAGCTGTACCATTTTACATTACATCTGCAATGTAGAAGGGTTCCAATTTCTCTACATCCTCACCAACACTTTTTTCCTCCTCCTCTCTCTACAGCATCCTAGTTAAATGTGAAGTAGAACCTCACTGTGGTTTTGATTTGCATTACCTTAATGACTAGTGGTGGTAAGCATCTTTTCATGCACTCATTGGCCATTTGTAAATCTTCTTTGGAAGTAATGTCCTTTTTGTCTGGTCGTCTTTCAGAGTTTCTCTTTGTCTTTATATTTTAGTAGTGTTACTGGGATGAGGCTCAATGAGATTGAGGATAAAGTTCACTTGGGAGATTGGTTGCTGGTTATATTTTCAGTGCATGTCGTACTCCTGAAACCTTTGTAATATACTATAGAAGAGACAAATGAGTGAATTCACCAATATTGTGGGGAACCAGGATTCCTACTAAGAGAAGGGAGGTATAATAATAAAAAACAAAACAGGGAAAGATGAGGAAGAAATTTGTTTTGATTTGAATTGGAGGTATCCATATGAACTTATAATTTAAAGATGATGTAGTTCCTAATTCTATCCATGGAAAGGTCTAGGAAACAATTAAAAAACCAACTAATTGTTTTATTTTCCTTGTAGGTTGTGCTTCCAGTACCAATGAGCAATCCCATTGCAGAGGACTTGATTTCTAAAGGTTATTCCTCAATAGAAGGGACAGGGCAGAAATTACTTCTTCCAGATCCAGGGCAGAGAAAGTACTAGGAGCATTATCTACACATCACATACAGTCTATACTTACCAAGATATTTAACTTGTAATAATGCAGGAATTCTGACCATGGGCCATTTAACTGGTCAGCAGGCTGGGCTCTTCAAAAAATCAAAGTCATGAAAACCATTATAGATAAGTTGATGACGGAGATGCCTATTTTATTTATTTTTTATTTTATTTTATTCTGTTACATTAGTCACCATATATTACATCATTAGTTTTTGATGTAGTGTTCCATGATTCATTGTTTGCATATAACACCCAGTGCTCCATTCAATACGTGACCTCCTTAATACCTATCACCGGGCTAACCCGTCCCCCCACCACCCTCCCCTCTAGAACCCTCAGTTTGTTTCTCAGAATCCATAGTCTCTCATGGGAAGATGCCTTTTTAAAAGTGACTAAAGAGACCTGACAACCAAGTTGATCAACAACATGATCTTTGATTTTGTCCCAGAGGAGAAAAATTCAAAATCTTGAAGGGACACTTCTAGGACAGCTGGAGGAGGTTGAATGTGAAGTATATATTAGATAATAATATTGTTTTGATTGCAATGCTGGCATTTCTGATTATGTAGGAGAATGTCCTCTTTTTATAGGAGAGACCAACTGAATTACTAAGGATAAAATGTTCCAGAAGTTAAAGGTAAAATGTATACAAAGAGATAAAGCAAATGTTACAAAATGTCAGCAATTGGTGTACAGATGTACAATTTATTGTTCTGTTCATTTTACCATTCTTTCAGCTTTCCCACAGGTGAAAAGTTGAAGGAAAAAATCTTAAGATCCCACAATATTGGCATTATTTCAGTGTGATGGTATTTATTATATTCATTTTTAATTTAATCTCTGAGACATTCTGTAGTTACAATGAAATAAGTCTATAAGAGAAGACCTCTTGCAGCTCTATAGTGTATTTTCCACGCAGGAGACAGGGTAAGATTGAAAAGACATCCCAAAAGACAAGACAATTCATAGCTTGAAGACAAAACAGCTCCATATCTCTGAGATGAGCACAAAATTTAACCAGCAGTGAATGCCAAGAGGCCTTTCAGCAAATGTATAGGACCATTTTCTCTGCGTCAAGAGAGTTGGAACATCCTAAAGGTTAGTAAAAAACTCACAAGGTGGGAAGCTGACTTGACTGTAAACAGAAGAAAACAAGTGTGTCCCCAAGTTGTGGTTGAACAGCATGTATCTGCCTAATGAGGAGACAAGAGGATCAGATGGAGCTGAGAGGATTTACCCTCCCAAGCTCTGTCCCTCCCAAGCTCTGTTGTCCCTCACGAGCACGGTCCCTCGTGAGTGCTGGCCCTCATGAAAACTGTCCCCTCACTAGCAGTGTCCTTCATGAGCACTGTCCCTCATGAGCTCTAATACTCGCCTGATTCCAATGAGGCACTACAGATGGTCATAGATTTCATCAGCCGGGCTGCCCAGGAGGCAAGCGAGGCCTGGGAATACATGGGGAGTGCCTTTCCTGGGACCGGCAGACCTCAATTTCAAGCATGCCGTAGGTAGCCTGATAGGCCCCTTTGGCAGCTGCCCAGCCTCCATCCACTTGAATGCTGTTGTCACTCGGCACTTTTAAGCCCTGGTCCCAGGTCGGAATAAGTAGTGATATCTTGATATGAAAAAATCTCTCCATATTGGAGTTATCAACTGGTGCCAACTAAGCTGGGCTCAGATCAACTGCTTTTTTACTCGATGAGAGAGAAATTTGTGAGAGAAACGGGTGGATCTGGTAATTCCCCATCTCTGGGTCTTCACTTGATAACCTTGACATGTAAGCCCTAAGTTTTTGAGACTCAGCAGAATATATCTGAGCACACGGCTATACTGTTCCCACCTCTCTGGACACACATGTTCTCATTTTGTCCCTTCATACCAACTAGCAGGACTCTCTCCAACCCTCCCGCGCTTCCTAGCTCACCACCCAGACAAGGGAAGGAAGTGTGTTTATAGCTAATGTTGCCCTGTTTAAAAAGAAGAAGAAGGAAGCCAGATACCAACCACTGAATTCAGTTCTATTACTCTAGAAGTTTTTTTAAGATTCCAGAAGGTCTGTTCTGTTTTGTATTTATTGTTATCGTATCCACTCTGGTATTTTCAGGGATTAGAGAGTTTTCCAGCCTTCCCAGATAAGACTGAAGATGCTACATTGATGAACTAGATGTATAGGAAGCCCCATGATGAAGACCTTGGTACATAAAGCACCGTGGAGATTGGAGCAAGCAAGGAGGAAACTAGTCTTTGACCTTCAGATGGAATAAAAGCTTCCACCTTAACCTGCACTCAGGGATCATTTTATTCCGTTACCTTTGAGTGTGTCACTTAGTTCCATGTGCTTCTAGGATAATGCTGTAGCAATTTCCCCAGCCTCCATCCTGTCTAAGCTCGTGTGACTGGGAGAATGGAGAGCGTGGTGAAAGAAAAATGTCCAGAGGGAAGGATGATTCCAGAAAATACAAAGAGGTTATGACATTATAGTTCACGGTGAGTTGTCTTTGATACATCGAAGTGGAAACATCCAGCAGAATGAGAAGGTGGTGGGAAATGTAGAGGCGTGGTGGTCAACCCCATCACTCACACCCTGGAACAATGGAACAATGCGTGAAGACACTTGGATAAACGTACACACAGTCTACAGATACGTTCAATAACCTCCTAGATTTGGTTTAGTTTGTAACACTCGGTTTCTAAGTCTGTGGCCATTTGCAGAGACACTCATGTCACGACAGGAACTGCTTCCTGGGGACAACAGGGATGCCCATCCTCCTCTGCTCATGTTCACAAGGACGCTGACCTGGTGAACCTCCCGTTCCCGTCCTGACCCTGCCCGGGGCACCAGGCTCCTCCACTGAGTTGCCTTCTGTCTTCTGGAGGGTGGGTGAGTCCTTAGAACACTAAGATCTCTCTGCATGTTATCTTTCCAGTGATTACTCCACTCTTTCTTTTTTTTTTTTTTTTCCATTTTCAAATTCTTTTCTCCCCACAGAACTTGTAGAAGGTGGAGCCGCCCAGGCTCCCAGACATAAGATCACAGAAAAAAACAGGCCATGGCTTTTTGTGGTGTGATCTTAGTTCTGGCCACAGAATCCTTTACCGGTATCGACAGACCTGGGACAGGGCCTGGGGCTTCTGATTGCATTTGAGGATGAGGCCATATTAGATGATTCACAGCTGCCTCAGAATTGATTTTCTGCAGAGAGGCCCAAAGGAGTATACTCTACCCTCAAGATCTAGCCTGCTGAGGTGGGGACTCGATTTTGTATTTCTGTGCCAGCAGCTAACTTAGCCACAGCATCCCAGAAGCACTTCCTTTCTGCACACAAAACATTATGATTCCCCTTTCTAGTCAGCTCACAGAAGCTCTAGACGGAGGCCTTACCTTATCCTTCATTATGCGAGGGATAGAAGTGGGCTTGCAGAGATAAGCTATGATTCCTATAAAGGGAAGACAGGAGGACTGAAAATGTTGTTTGAAAATAATTACGACTCAGGTTTAGAAGCACTTCTTGGGGATAACGCAAGGATCCCAAACTGGACATGACTGGTCATACACTCAGGCCCCAAGGGCCAGTGATGGCTGTTCCCCTATGAAAATATGCAATCACAAAACATATGCAATAAACTCTAATAATACAGATGGCAAATCTTCGAGAGTAGCTAACAGCAGGCTCTCCCTCTGTGGTTCTTACCACTGTCTAAATTATTCGAATTGCTCTCCAGCTTGCTGTGGGAAGTTTTCTGCAGCAAAGTCTCAACACAGTATGTGCTTGGAGAACATTTTTTTCCTGTTCTCCTGGTGTTGTTAATGATGATGGTGTTGATAATTTCAGCTGTATTATTCAGCCCTTCTCCGACTTCAAAGGAATACACACCAATGGATATCCTGGCATCGAGTCCCAAATCTTGGCTCAAAATGAATTCTTTCTCCAGAGTGATCTAACTCTTCAAAGTAACCAACACAGTTCAGCACTGTGCCCCGGGCTTGAGCCAGCTAGTTCAGAGACTTTGAGGGCATCTCCAGCTGGCTGCCTTAGCGCATCAAAATAGCTCCCTCGCGCATTAAATATTCCTTAGTAAGAACTTCTGAAACAACCAGTTGCCCCCCATCCACTTATGCCCTCAGATTAACTCCTCAATTAACAACCTTTGTGTTGAGATCCATATCCTCCACTATAACTTCTGTCAGATTCCCTAAGAGAGTAGTGGCCATCGTTCTGAACCATTGGTTAGAACTCTTTAGTAAGCAGCTTCCTGAGATTTCCCTCAAAACACTGTTAGTTACTGCCCCTCAGCCCCTGTGGTTTTACTTCCTTCCTTATCCAACCAAGAGGTGAGTCGTAATTTACGTCCATTTATCCGGTGCACAGCTCTGCCCGTATCTTCATCCAGTTTACTCGTCGGACAACTTCAGTCATTGATGAATACAACTATCCACCATCTCTGTGCCAGAATTTTTATTTGGTCATTTTTCCAGTCTGCTGAGATATATATCTCCAGTAAATTAACATACCACGCTATATTAGTGTCAGGTGTACAATACAGTGATTCAACACTTCTACACATTACTCAGTGCTCATCGCGAGAAGTGCGCTCTTCATCCCCATCACCTGTTTCCCCCATCGCCCCACCCACCTGCCTCCTGGTGACCATCAGTTTGTTCTCTACATTTGAGACTCTGTTTTTTTGTTTGTCTCCTTTTTTCTTTGTTTATTTGCTATATTTTATAGTTACTCAGCCTAATAACATTTTCTGAGATTGTCCTTTATCTCTTCATAGATAGGAAACATAGTTGTTTCAGAGTCTGTCTGAATATTTTCACATCTGACATCTTTGTGGGGCTATTTTTGTCGATTTTCTTTTTCTGCTCCTTCTCAGTCATGATGTTTGTATTTTCATGGTGTTTGTATTTTTCCTTATGAATCCAATTATCTTTGGCTTTGTGCCAGACACTAGATTTGTAGAAATAAATTTTTGCTGGGTTGGACAGATCTTCCTCCAGAGAGAATTTCATTTTGCTTCTGCCAAGTGCATGGGGGTATAAACAACCTGGGGCCACCTGAATCAGAATTCAAGGCTTGAGGTGGCCTGGGTCACCTAGAGAACAGATTTATCTCTATCTCATCTTTACTTTGAATCTGTTAATTCATGTACATTTGGTACATTCTGGACTTTGATTTTTGTCCCTCTGGCCAGTGAGTCAGTCTCGTGAGCACTGAGTCGGGGTAGGCAAATGCCCCCAAAGGCAAAAAGAGACTGTTATGCTGTCCTCTCCAGCCACTCACCTTCTCCAAGATTCCAGCCTTGTGTCTCCCACTATATTTTTGAGACATTAATTAACTGAGGTTTTTGATGTTGTCATTTCACCCAACTATTTGGGGAACAACAGAAGGATTGATTTGAGAGCTCTTATTTGTAATTCTAGGGACTGAGGTCAAGGAATTTTATTTAGAATTTTATTTTATTTTTTTAAAGATTTTATTTATTTATTTGACAGACAGACACATAGCGAGAGAGGGAACACAAGCAGGGGGAGTGGGAGAGGGAGAAGCAGGCTTCCCGCAGAGCAGGGAGCCCAATGCTGGGCTCGATCCCAGGACCCTGGGATCGTGACCTGAGCCGAAGGCAGACACTTAATGACTGAGCCACCCAGGTGCCCCTTATTTAGAATTTTAAATCAAAATGCATTAATAGTAGATTCTTAGTCTATAATTTCTTTGTATTTAACTTAAATGGCATAGAGATGTTAAACTTTAATTTCAACTAGAAATTTTTTTAAAATGTAAAGGGTATTTATAATCAAATTGAGACATTTGTTTTTTGTCATTTTATTATTGGAGTATTTGTCATTGGAGTATTATTGGAGTACTTTTATGTTCTTTTTTACTTTTATCCATAACCTCTGGCATGTCATTGGACCATGTGGCAGGACAGGAAATAGAAAAAGGAGTGGATATTTAGACTTGAGCAGAGAACACAGAATGGACTTGGAACTCATTTAATTGCTGCACTGTCGTGATGCGTTTGAGCCGGTTTTTCATGAGTACACCCAAGGAGCAGTGGCTGGAATTGGGAAAATAACTAACAAGTGGCTCCATCTTCCCCACTTAAACCCAGTCTCCTGAGACATCACTTTATTCCACATTCCCCATTTTGGGAGATTTCCCTAAAGTAATACTCCTGTTCTTTTTTTTAAGATTTTATTTACTTATTTGAGAGAGAGAGAACAAGCAGAGGGGACGGGCAGAGGGAGAGGGAGACGCGGAACTTGATCCCAGGACCCAGGGATCAGGACCTGAGCTGAAGGCAGACGCTTAATTAACAAACTGAGCTACGCGGGTGGGCCTACTAATACTTCTGTTCTAATCTTCCCATTCCTTATCGACTTTTCTATATGGGAAGGGAAATAAGTGATCTCATTTAATTTCTTCATCTTTCTTTAGTCTCTCCTCATCTTTGTGCTTTCCTCCTGGAACCTAGACAAGAGATCGATTCCTTGGTGTTTTCTCAACATGAACTAAGATTAGTGGAGAACTTTATTTTTCATACTAGGTAGACTGCAGTTTGGAGGAGAGAGAAAATGAGTTAAATTCCGACTCAGTATAGTGTTAGCCAGACCATTGGGTTTCACATCTGAGCCCCATTATTTACCATTATTTTGGTATTTACCAATATCATCAAAAAGGACATTATCATGTCCACCTGTATGGCTCCAATGTCTAACTATCGGTTCCATCTTAGGCCACAATAAGACAATATTAGCTGTTGACCCTCTAATACTAACAAATCATACACCCATACCCCTTGTACTCAATGAAACAAGGCACAACTCCACTTCCGTCCTGACAAGAGAACACATCTGTGCTGTTTCTTCCCATTGGCCACTAGGAGGCACTGTGGCTTCACTGTCATCTAGAGTCCAGAAGGGCTGAACAAGCCCCCTGGAAGGAGAGGGTTTAAGGGTTAAACCATGGGGCTGGGTTTAGATTCAGGGAATTGCAGATACCTTGAATGCTGGCTGAGAATGAAGGAATTAAAGACCAAGGCTCCTTCCTCTATTTTATGGAGACACTTTTGTTCTGAACTGGACTCTGAATGGCAGGTATGCTTGTTGTGGTTTGCTGAAGGTGCGGGAGCTCACGGAGCTGGGGCTGGTGAGGTTTGCATGTTCTGGGCTGGGAAAAGCTGAGTGTCAGAGAAACTTTAGCGAGCCTGACCCAAACCAACCCCGGCCAGCCCATCTGCTCTGTGGTTCTGCAGCTGGTAAAGCAGGGAGACCTGCAGATGCTACCTTGGACCACATCAGAGGGACCCTGGCCCCAGGGAGCTGGCAGTCGCGGGGACACCACCCGCAAATGCACTTTCCAAGCAGGGACTGGGGTGGGCCAGAACAACAGAATTTCTCCCCAAGGTCTTCTGTTCTCACCAGGAAGATGCCACAATGTACTTTTGACTTTACCATTTGCTCCAGATTCCCATGTGCCCCTTGGAAGCAGATGATGTCTGGGGATAAGAGATAAGAAGGTTTTGCCTGGACCTTCCTTGGCCTGATTTCAGGTTCTTTCTATGTGATTGTGTATCAGTCTCTCCCCCTAACCTTATCTTGTATCCTGTACTGCCTCTTCTGCCCCAGTCCCATGGATACTGTAATTTATTCAATTCCTATTGCTGCTCTAACAAATTACCACATGTTTTATGGCCCAAAAGAATACGGATTTGTTATCTCACAGTTTTGCAAGTCGGGAGTCCAAAATGGATCTAACTGGGGTTAAAATTAAGGTGTCAGCAGGGTCATAGGGGCTCTAAGGACACTGTTTTCTTGCCTTTTTCAACCTCTAGGCCACCACCCTTCCTTGGCTCATAGAGCCCTTCCATCTTCCAAGCCGGCAATGGCCGGTCGAGGCTGTTCTCGTGCTATTATCACTCTGACTCTGACTCTGACTCTTCCTCCTTCTTCCACATGTTAGGACCCTTGGGATTATATTGGGCCCACCTTTAAATTTCAGTATACACTCCCTGTATTGAGGTCCGCTGATCAGCAGCCTTAATTCCATTTGGAACCTTCATTCCCCCTTGTTATGTAATATAACACACCCACAATTCTGGGGATGGGACATGGACATCTGTGGGGAGCCATCATTCTGTCTACCACACCTAGGTACACGGTAACAAGGAAAGAGCAAACAATG